ATATATATATATATATATATATATATATACATATATACATACACACACACACACATATATATATATATATATATGTGTGTGTATNTATATATAGTATATATATAGTATATATAGTATATATATAGTATATATGTATATATATATATATATATATATAGATATGTGTGTGTATGTATATATGTATATATATGTATATGTATATATATATATATATATATATATAGATAGATAGATTGTTGGCAGCCTCTTTTTGCAACTTTAGGCCACACTGATTTTATTTCTTGGTTAGATGATTTTTTCAGACAAGATGAAGCGACAGGGCGAAAAAAAAAATACAGGTCTAACCAATTTCATTGCTTAATTCTCAGATTCACCTGCTGATGTTTTCTGATTTGAAAAAAAAATGCACATACAGTACATGTAATAGTATGCCATTCAGGATCTGAATCAACAGTAGAAGAAAGTCCTTGAAAACTTAGTTGTTATATTTTATCAAAGCATTGATTTCATTAAGTACAAAATTCATATTTAAATTATAAATCAGCATAGCATGTTGACTTTGTGGCTTTTATAATGGTAGTGTTTGAGACTATATCAGGATGCCTTGTTTTGTTTTTTAATTGCTCACTTCATTGATTTGCAAAACTATGAGGACCAAGAAATCAAATTGATATCATTGCACATGACAACCCTGTCTTCATCAATGACACTATAGCAGTCTTCATTTTCACAACACCTGAGTATGCAATACAATGTGGTACATGTATGTAATCAGTTTGCAAACATTCTATCGATTCCCCAGGAATTTGTAGACACTTGCAAACTGTAAATCAGAAAACTATCCTCGGATTCAAAAGCAGCATGGACAAGTAACTCAAAAATACAATGGACATTGGAGCTACCAAGGGCTACCTGCTCACCTTAATTACTTCTGATTGCAGGGTAGGAACTCTGCAATTTAGGTAAATTCAGATAAATTGTGAAAATCTGTTTTACCCAGAAGTACGGCTAGTTACCCTCCCCCATGACATGCCAAGATTGCAGTGTTATGAAATATTTTCTTTGGAATGTTGGTTGCAAAATAAAATTTCTAATTGTCTTTTGTACTAATTTTGTAAAAGAACAAATGTGAAGTTTCAGAATGTGTTTCTCAGAAATTTGGGCAAAAGGTCTATAGTATCCAAACATCTATAGTATCAAAGGATCATACAGGAATTCTAAATGTCATTTGTGTCAGTTTGAGTGGGCTACAAAATTTTAATGTAACAGTTATATGATAATAACATAAATGACCCACCTGTTTCACATGCAATGACCAATTATGTTTTTTGTGTTTTCAGCAGTAGATTTTTCTAGTTGCCCCAAAATATTGGGATATACAGTCACTCAAATACACGTACGTGTACATGTAGGTGCCATAAGAGCTTGATACTATTGATTCTGGTGAAAAGTAGTGAAAGTATGAGTGGACACCAGGTACAGTGAGTTTGTGGTTCCAGGTGGGAATTTACCTGCCCTTGTGTGATTGCCAAAATTTATCGGTGAAGTTGAGATCGTAACTCTTGGCCTTCCTCTTGGGCCTGGCACCTTGTGGAGACTTCTCACCTGCCGGTTCTTCTACCGAGACTCTATTCAACTGTAGATCCTGTAGTTACACAGAACAGACATTAGGCCACTGCTAGGAAATCTTAAGGACGATCTGCTCACTGATTTTTACCTGATCTCTGTTGGTGGACAGCATGACAAAAAAATACAGAAAATGAAAGAATACACTTATTGTATGTCATAAAATTCTACCTATTCTACATATTGCAAATCATCCCACATGCCATGACACCAGTGTGGTAGCCTTGATTGTAGTGCTACAAATGTAGGCTGCCAAGTTCTGCTCTTCTTGAGCACAGGAATAAAAGCCATGTTTGGTCACTTAAGTCAATAATTAAAAAAAATTATAAATATTCTTGTTACAACATTTATAGTCTCTGTTTTGGAACTATAGACATCTTTTTCCTAGCATGTTCTCAATTTGAAAGCCTATATTGTCCTGATTGCTATCCTATCATGCAACAAACACGACCAGCTTTTTACCAACACATCATGTGCCAGAGCCTGGTATGTCCATGTGTGGTGCAGTGGCGTGGCCAAGTCCAGGTTCCTGTCCAGGATGACCAGTAGTGGCCTCTGGAAGCTGAACTGACCGGCCTGAAGGCTGTCCGAAGTGAACAAACTGTTCCTGGAGTCCCTGATGTTCTCCCGTAGTTTTTTGTCCAGTTTCTCTGCCACCATCTCTGCAGCATTTCCACGCGGACTTCTGATGATGGGCACTGTGCCTGCAGGAAACAAGACAGCAGACAAGCCAGAAGTGAGTGATGCATACATGTGGGTGAAGCCTGCAGTTCCACACACAGCCAGTAGATATAACTTTATTCCAACTTGTCCTTAAGTTCAATCTATGATAACCAATCCTCCCTCCTTGCCACTCTACTGCATTTAAGTACTTACATACACAAGCAGACACACAAACCACTCAAACAGAGAAATTATACACATTACACATACCTAATGTTACAAATACTGAGAATAGGCTGTCCACAATGGCATCCATGGAAGCTTCCATTTCAGAGTCCTGAACGTCTCCTCTGTTAATGGCTGAAAAGACAACCAGAATTAGAAAGGTAACATTTGCAGACTGTTAACCACCACATGGTCTAGCCTACCAAATTATTTCTCTGTTTATTCTAAGTAAAAAACATTCATATACATGTATGTTGTGACACAGTCTAACACTGGCTGCAACTTGCAACATAATGTAACACCATGTGTCTCCTATACCAGTTCCATGGTGACTGGTCTAGGTCAAGGTCAACATAATGATTTTCATATGACACTGACAACTATTATGTTTTAATGTGTGTATGTGTGTGTGTATGCGTGAGCATGTGTGTATGTGTGTGTGTCTGCGTGTATGTTTGTGTGTGCGTGTATGTGTGTGTGTGTGTGTGTGTGTGTGTGTGTGTGTGTGTGTATGTCTGCGTGTGTGTGTGTATGTTTGTGTGTGTGTCTGTGTATATGTGTGTGTGTCTGTGTGTATATGTGTGCATGTCTGCGTGTGTATGTGTGTGTGTGTGTGTGTGTGTGTCTGCGTGTGTGTGTCTGTGTGTGTGTGTACTAGTATGTGTTTGTGTGTGTGTGTAAACATAATAACTTGAGATGGATTCAATGGAATGTATTGATTTTTGGTAGGGGGGTAGGTCTTGATGATTACGGTACATTTTGGGCCCCCTGGCAGCTTTTATTTAGTTTATTTCGATATCATCCATAAAAATTAAGTCAGTGTGGCCTATGCAGGTAGCATTAGTGATGCTTGACATAATTAGATGGGTTGCGCAATCTAAGAATACAAATTAAAATCTGATTTGCATAATTAATGAGGAAATTCTATCAATCTGCTGCAAGATAGGACTATTAAAACTTGATATGTAAATTATTGTAATTGAGAATGAGAGGAACATTGCCGGATATTGATGATTATGAAATGAAAACCTGCATATACTTTGCATAACTAATGCAAAAACGTTATAATTTCATAGTGGTAACTTCCAACTTAACCTAATTGGGTCAATCTGTGGTAACCACCCCCTTCCTGCCAACCTTCTACATACAAATACTAGTACATGTACCTACAAACACAAGCAAACCCTCAGTTAGGTTTGACACAACTGGGAAGACTGCTTACCATAGTATGAGATGGCCTCTCTGTTTTGGGAGTGCCTGAGTGTAAACATATCATCTTCCAGAGTAATAAAGTTCAGGTACTGATCAAAGACCTGTAAAAAGATAAAGTTGGAATGATTTCGAGTGTGGAAAATCAAGGATACTCAAAGGAAAGGAGAAAGCATGTAATTGTTTTGCCCTGCTGAGTCCCACTTGGTCCAAACACAGAATGATTAGGCCTGGTTTTGCCCGCCTGCAAAAATCCAAGAACCAAGACCTGAAATTGGTGTGGCCTTAAATCAGATGTACCTTGGATATCTGAGGGACAGTGCCAGCCTGAAGTGCCGCTGATGCCAGGTCTTCCAGACGCTGTCGTGACACTGCCGAGATGAAGTTCAGGTAGTACGACTCATACAGCTGGTTCCGCAAATCCTATGTCAACAAATCAACATTCCCCAAAGATTGTTAGGTTAGAAATTGATCGAGTATACAGGTACTGTTTTGGGTAGGTTGTCTTGTGGGTTTGTCCACACAGAGTATGGATGTGAAGAGATTGAAGATTTCTAGAAAGTTTCTAGAGTATTTGTTTAGAAGTCGTTGGCACTACCAAAGAGATGGGCTGAAGTTCAAAGGACCTTGACAGAAACTTTGCTGGCTGAGAGGCTGAAGTGAACAACCCTAACGTTGTGCCCCTAGCGGTTACCCACGGTGACATGCAGTACCTTCCTGTCAATCTCCCTCCATTCCTGCACCTCTACTGCATTCAAACACCTGGGCACATAAAATAACACATACCAGAGGTGGGCCAACAACTTAATGTACAACCAAAAGTTGTAAACTATGAACCTTAAATACTCTCTTCTGGATTAAACTTGTCTCTATATCAGTATATGGTGCCTTATGCCTACTAATTCAATAGCACCTCTGTCTGTACATTTGCAAGGACAGACACAAAATCTGAGTTTTGCACATTTAAAGATAAGTCACTGTGAATTGTTTCAGCAAAATAGTCTACAAAAACACAAGCCTACTAATTATCAGTCATTAAGTAGGTGTCTCCTACAGATTCCAAACCACTTGCTTTCTGTAGACTCATACATGTAAGGCATGGTCATCCTGCTCTTCCAGTGCTCGTGAGTACGCCTGATTTGGGCGCACATGCACCCAGAATTTTGACGGTGTGACTATATTTGAAATCACAGTTCCATGGTGCGCCAATCAAAAATGAAGACCTTCGCCTAGAAAATGGCTGCAGAAATAAGCCGTATATAAGCTGAAAATAAATGAACTCCAGACCCTGTTCACTGACTGAAGCACCTCCCTGCTCTTATCTCTGCACCACCCTGTTGTTTTACTGTAATATTCCCCAGTAAAATTTGCTCCCCATTCGCTTTATCTTTGGCCGAGCGGCGTGGATCAAGCCACTAATTGTGTGGATCGTGCCGCTGGTATTGATCACAACGCAGCGAAAAAATTATTCATTCCCAGAAGAAATGTTGCACATGAAAATAACAACAACTAGAAAGGCCGACATTTGCTTGGGAGCAAATACAGCATATTTCAGTCCATCTAAATCCCACGCAAAAGTGAACTATTCCAAAAGGTTCTCAAATATATTAATTAAATAATACCTACATTGTATGTAATTGAGAACAAAGATGCAAGAACAAGCACTTTGAATCTCAAAAGCTTTACTAATCTTATTACAGGTATGCAAATACTAACAATGATGAGATTTGATACATTTTGAAGGTCTTAGGCACATAAAATTGAATGTGTGCGTCATTACGCACGACTTATGTGCAATGTGACCTCAGGTAACCCGCAATGGAACACGTGTTCCATGGCCAAAGGCAGATGGAACGGGCTATTCTTTAGATAGAACGTGGAACGGGTACAGCACTTTTGGCCCTTTTTTGGCCTGAAATAGCCATTAAAGTCCCCTGAATGAGTCATTTACAAGTGGTGTATGCCAAATATGTGACTGCTTTTCTGTAGACACACGTTCAAGGTACCCTTATACCGAATTTCAGATCATTTGATTGTAATACAAGGGATCAGGATCCAAAAGTCCATTTTTTGTTGAAAAATGCCCAAAAAAACCTTCATAAAAATTTTTCAAAGGCATCAAAAAAATGAAAAAAACGCCTGGGGGTATTGGCCCACTCTACCTCCATGCCAAATTTCAAGTCATTTGACTGAATGATGGCGGAGTTGAATCCCTTTGACTGTTTGGCAGGAGAAGAAGGAGGAGAAGGAGCAACATGAGAGAACACAATATATTTCATCCATACCATGGTATGGACTGAAATATAATAACTTGTTTCAGCATGAAAGTTCATCTGAGTTGGTAAATTACATTATGAAAAACTTAAACTGTTCTCCAACTCAAAATTTGACTCACCAGAAATTTTCGACTGAATCACTCAGTCTTCCTCAGCTATCTGACCCAAATGCTGTGGACACATGATTTTTCCCACGTGTGACGTCAGCAAAGGGTCAAAGGTTGTCTGAAGTCGATAAAGGGCACTGCCCTTTCTAGACACTCTAACAACAATCAACCAGGATAGGTCCCTGCGGGTTAGCATATACCGTAAGGGGACACACACGGACCAATATCTAAATTTTTTCTCAAACCACCCTTTGGACCACAAGTTGGGTGTGATCAAGACCCTTTTACATAGAGCTAATACCATTCATCAGTGATCCTGCGGATAGAAGTAGCGAGATCCATCACGTTACAGAAGCCCTAAAGAAGTGTGGCTACCCTCAGTGGCTCATTAGGAAAGCCTCCGAGCCCAGACAACCCCGGTCTAAACCCCACGATAGTCAGGGAACGGGAGTGAAAAACAGAAAATCACTTGTAGTCCTCCCATACGTAAAGGGTGTTTCTGAGCCCCTACGTATAATCTTTGCTGCACACGGAGTGAGTACCTGTTTCAGACCTCATCGTACGTTAAGACAACTCCTTGTGGCACCTAAGGACAAAAGTCCCAAGGAAGACAAATGTGGGGTTACCTACCACATAAGTTGCCAGGGAAACACTAACAGAGGCCCCTGTCGGGAAACTTATATCGGGGAAACTGAGCGCTCAATAAAAACCAGGTTTCTAGAACATAGACGACCCAGTTCTGTTGCATCTGAGGTGTCACTGCACATCCACATAGAATCACCGGGACACACAGTGGATCTGGAGGGGGTCAGAATCTTGGATACCGAACAGGATTACTTCAAGAGAGGCATAAAAGAGGCCATATACATCAGGGCACTTCAACCATCGCTCAACCGGTACGGGGGGCGATATCGACTTCAGACAACCTTTGACCCTTTGCTGACGTCACACGTGGGAAAAATCACGTGTCCACAGCATTTGGGTCAGATAGCTGAGGAAGACTGAGTGATTCAGTCGAAAATTTCTGGTGAGTCAAATTTTGAGTTGGAGAACAGTTTAAGTTTTTCATAATAACTTGTTTCCTGCATCACATCAATGTTGAGGCCATAAAATGTTTGAAACAATTGAAATTTGTCCGTAAAAAAGCTCTGAAGACTAATGGAAAACTGGCAACAATAGCAGTTTCATGCCCATAGCCAGGATTTTGAATGGGGGGTTCTTCCCACTGCTGGAGGGGACCTCGAGCGCAGTAGAGGTTACTAGGGGGGTCCGAGGGCATGCTTCCCCGGAAAATTTTGAAAAATGAACCTTCTAAAATGGCATTTTGTGCATTTTTCAGAGGATTCCAAGAAAAAATCTGAGATAAATTTTTATTCAATGACAAATGGAGCAGTTTTTCTACAATTCCCCTGGCTACAGGCATGAGTTTGTGAATCAAAGATGTGCATGTCACGTGACTAGTATCAGCATATTGGAAATGACAGCAGCTTGTTCCCAGGGAAAGTTGTGACACATCAGAAGAGCTACAAATGTCCTCTGTCACTGTGTCTGACTCAGGATTGACAGTGACTTACTAGTAGATATTTAACCTAACAATTTTACAAAATCCAAGAAAACACAAGATGGGAACTCTTTTTCATTAGCTTACCAAATTTACATGTATGTGCACTAATTTGCACATGCGTGTGGTATTTTGACCCCTGCACACACACAGACATAAACAAACCAAAACAAAACAAAAGGTTGTACCTGACATATCCTTTGCACATTCTCTTCTGATGGCATGACAAAATACACAGCCGGCACATCTGGGATAGGATCACGATCGGAATGGAGAAGCCTGAAATCAATAAAACATTTTTACAAAATTGAAAATTCAGGTCAAGGTTAAGAACAGGACTTGGATATTTACTGGTAAAATCTTGTGACAACTAATGCAATATGTGCCATGATCATTAATTGCAAATGACATGGTACTACAGGACTGGCTGTCTAAAATGACTACATGTATATGTATACAAACCAGGAGGTTCCAGACAATATAAATCTGTTGACCAAAGGGTTTCTCCATTATGGCCAGAACTATACAATGTGCAGTTTATATAATATTAATGCATAAAACTCACAGATGTAGGGTGACTCCCATATCCCTCAGCTCTGGTACTGACAGGATAGGGGAGATGATATCTTGGCCAAAACGGTCGTACACAAGGACCTGAAAATGAACACACAATTCATGGATGAACCAGCTTTTCTATAAATGCCATGCCATGAATTAAGCTTTGTATTTAGACACAGAAACAGACACACTAACACCCCCACATGCACACACCTGGACTGTAGCTATCTACTGAAATTTTGGATCATGAATTGCTGTGGTTAACTCCAATTTGAAAGTTTAAGTGTGGTGTGAAGGAGGCTGTGTATGGTGTGAAGGAGGCTGTGGACAAGAGAATTCACAATTTTCTGAAGGGGAAAGGAGGATTGAGAATAGAGCTTTCGTCCATATGGGACTCTGTTTTGCAACATGTATTACATTTTTTGTCTTTTTCTTATCATGTTTTCCTCAGTTTCTTCCTCCTCTTCTTCTCCAAGCAAATAAGGTCAATGACCTGAACCAGACATCTCTCACCATGGTAACTGGTGTTGGATTACATAATATTGCAAGTGCCATGCAGAACTGACATGGTCACCATACAATATACATGTATATTAATGTGTTTCAATAAGAATAAACAAAGCTTGTTAACTTGAAATGGATATGGGCACCACCCTATGCTCTGCATAAGGGCACGGGAGACATTTCTTTCTTGTTAACGGTGCACACCCCAATTCTTCCGTGCCCGGGGTCAGTGGTAGTGCATGGTAAAAAGTAATGAAAGGGTTTTCAGGGTCCAAGTTTGAGGTGACATTTCTCGTGTAAATTGCTAGGAAATACGAAATACTTCCGGGTATTCCTGCTTGTAATTTGCCTGTCCAGGATTCAGGAATGTCAATTTGCAACCCCTCGCGCCGTGGACGATTAAAAAAATTTGAGTACCAGGATTTTCATTACAATGACCCTGAAAACCCTTTCATTACTTTTTACCATGCACTATCACTGACCCCGGTCACGGAAGAATTGGGGTGTGCACCGTTAACAAGAAAGAAATGTCTCCCGTGCCCTTAGGCCTAGGAAAATAAATGTTGTGTTTCCTGTTTCCCGACCGACCCTAAAAAAACCGCCGACCCTAGTCTTATTTTTGTGTGGACCCCTGCATATTGCTGAACCAAAACATTTTGCACGACGCTACCGAGAGAATCGCTGTCATTGGTGGAACATCGGGCGCCCCGCTAGCGTTTTGAAGTCGTGTAAACAACGCTAATAATTTGTCTGATTTGTTTGTAAAACAAAGCCATCGACTCCGAAAATAAGTTTAAAAGCCGATACATTTACGAACTAATCGTAGAAAATTCCCTACCGTACTGCACCATCAGCATGCGGCGGCCGCAAAAATTCGGCAACGCGAAAGAAAAATGTCTGGTCCATGATAGCAGTATTTCTCATAAAAATAATGTGTATGATTTATTTTTCCCCCTTTGTCGGTCTTTTAGTCCCAAAACGTCTAAAAAAGCGGAAATTTGCCCATAAAACCGGACGAGGAAAGGTAGCTATCGACGTAAACAAATTATAAGCACATGGCGAAAATCAGCAAAATCGGCAACGGGACAGAAAAATGCCTGGTCCATTTATCGATATTTACCATGAAAATGTCGTCTGTGGTGTATTTTTCCTCTGATGTGAGTTTTTAGGTCGCAAAACCTCTAAAAAAGCAGAAATTTGCCCACGAAAACGGACTGGCAAGGCATGGGGGAGGGCGCTGTTGACGCCTCCATGACCCCCAAAGGTTGAAGGTCATAGGGCACGTCCATTGCGCAATAACCTTAAATCGCCGATTTAGCTAATTTTTTGGGGTTTCAAATTGATACAATCACACTATCGATTTTTAGGCAAACAAAGGGATAGAAACCAATTAAAATTTTGTGCAGATTAATTTTTTCTTTAGAATTCTTTTTGTTTCTTTTTTCTCCCAAATCCCTGGGAGAACCCTGAAAACCTGTAGACTTGAATCAGGACCTGAATCTGAATTTAGCCCTGCAAGGGCTAGGGACATCTGTTAAGTTCTTCGAGCTGATCGACCGTTTAAAGCTCCATGATCTGACACCTGAGTACCTGAGTGATGAAATATAATATTGCACAATCGATTTTTCATCATGTTCTGCTTATATAAACACAGCAATCAGCAAAGTCTAAAAAAAAAAAAGATAAAAATAAAATAAGACAAGTAAAATCTGAGATTTTATACCTCCGGGCTTTTTATTGTATATTTTTCCATGTTGTTTGTTCTGTATAGTTGATGGTGTTGAATTTTATGTGTTAGATTTAGCGTTCCTGGTTGTGTTAATACCGGACTGGTCAACATTTTCATCTGCAGCCCATACCATGTACCCACGGTAAAAATGCATGTCGAGAACGTCTGAGACAGTATACCACGGTATTTGTAAGTTAAGAAGTCGTACTATACGCCGAAAACATCCAAGATTGCGCAAGAGGGCGTTGACCCCTGACCCATTGGCCCACCCGGAAGTTGCGCTGGCAGCCAGCCCAGCGCCGCGCGCGACCATTTTCAGATTTTTACGCCCCAAAACACATATACAATAAAAACAAAAAAACCTGCACCATCTACAGCCCATTAGAAGAACATACACCGAGTCCAGTCTACCCCAACGCGAGATACAACTGCGATAATATTTCAAAATACATATCGGAAGCAGACACCCCTCTGTTTGACCCCTTTTAAATGGTAAGACCCAAAACTGAAACCTCCCCATTCCTTAACAACATGGTAAATTCCATTTTCAGCATGGCGGGGGTGTCCGGAGCACTTAAAAACCTTTTATTTCCACGCCCATAAACACATATACAATTAAACAAAAACGTTCTGCATCATCTGCAGCCCAACAGAAATACGTATACCGAACCACAGACAAATCCGTCCAGCCGATCGTGAGAAACAGCTGCTGACAGAAATGTTTCGAACAATAGTAAAACCTCCTCGCGGAAGGATATCTCCTTCCCCGGAGGTAATAATCCCTACCTACCGACCCTAATTTTTTCTGGACTGAAACAGGAAACACAACATTTTTTTTCCTTGGCCTTATGCAGAGCATAGGGTGGTGCCCATATCCATTTCAAGTTAATAATGTATAATCAAAGTTTGGGTCTTTCTGCCAGCATCAGTCATTTCTGCCAGAAAATTTTTTTCTATAGGATTATCGTAGGTGAAAATTCCCAATTTTGTGCATTAATTTTGGAGTGAATTTTTGTTTTTTGTGTTGATTTTACCAAAAATTAATTGAAGAGGTTGAGGAAACCAAACTCAGTTGGTCTTGTAGCTGAGATATCCCTTTGTCCCATATACAGTTATTCTCCTTCCCAATTATTCCACGGCAGAGATGGTTGCTAGACTCAGCTTTTGAATAGAAACAGCAAATAAACTGGGGTGTGCCCCCTTCAGCTGGGCCATGTGAAGGTAAACATAATGCATTTGCTTGCAAATGTTACCTGTCTAGTTTAGTTGGTTTACTTTTAGCCACCTTGTATTCCTTGCAGTGTTTCCGCCAGACTGCAGCTGAGAGGCCGTCCAGTTGGGAAGGGCCGGGTCGCGAAAATTAATTAACTTAGGGAACACGTCGCGAAAATTAACTGAGGGGGCGGGGCATTTGTTTACACTTGTTTACAAGTTGAAACTGTCCACAAGCATTCCACATTTTTTTTGTATTGACATAAAAACACTGTTACAGATGGCAAACGTATCGTCAGGAAATTATAGTTGCAAAACTCTGCTGCAAAACTCCAAACATCGGCATCATAACCTCCGGTAGCGCCCGCGCTAGCCGGATTTTTAATAGTGAAGAGCCTTGCTTCGTTCGAACTCGTACTTCTTCCGTATATTTCCGCTACGAATTACTCGTTAATATCAAGCCAAAAATACATCAAAACATGTAAAGAAACGTCATCTTATCTCTCATACACGAGACAAATTTTGAAAATAATTGGCTGTATCGTAGCTTTCATTCCTGTTTCATTCAACAAAATGCTCCTTGATTGTAAAATGATCACTCATCTGTTGTCTTCAGTACAGTGTCAAATGGTAGCGTGATCGTAGCGTGCGAAAAATCGGCGTTAAAAGTCAGAAAATCGCCGGAAAAATAACTTGCAGCACACATTCTTAACCTCGCCAATTTTGTCATTAATATGTAAGTAGCAGCGTAAACTCTACGCTCTGATTGGTTGACCTCATATGACCTGCGCTCTGATTGGATAGAGCCATTTTTGCCGGCATAGCTGTAGAATTTGTTTGTTGGCGAAGAGAGTTACACTACGTTACTTTCTACGGTGTTTCTACCGCTAATTAGTAACATTCCATTAAAGAAATTCATTATGAAGAATTTTTGGGAAAATGTATGCATCCATATGCCGATTTGTGGTGCCTTTCGCGTATTCAAGCAAGCCGGAAGTGTTAGCGAACCGCGGCGTGGATAGCGAACTGCGGCGTGGATTTTCATGCAACCCGCCCGCTACAAGACCATCAAAAACGAAAACGTAACTCCCAAAGGAGAATTTTCACATCCGAAATGATTCTGTTGGAGGAAAAATGTTTGTGGATACATTTTACCGGATGGAGACTTGAAAAACGGGTTTTAATGAGATTAACGTATGCGAAAGGCGCCGACATCAATTGTTCGTCAGCATGATAACAATAGCAAAACAAACAACGTGTGTCTTTCTTGCCTTGGACGGCGTCCTCGTCTACAGCAACAAAACAAAGACTGTCAATTTCTCTGATTTTTCCGAGTCTCGAGATTTTTTAAGGACGGCCTCTGTCCGAGTTCAGGCCGTCCAAACGACACCAGGCCGTCATATGACGGGTGGACGGCCCTCTGGCGGAAACACTGATTCCTTGTCTTTGGAACATGTATAGAATGTATCCTTAGTAATTATTGTATTATTATACTATTATTTATATATATATATATATATATATATATATATAAAGGGTTAAGCCCATCAAACTTCAAAGTGTTAACAATAACTTTACACCTTCAGTCTACATGTAGTACTATCATTCACCTGTAAAATTAGTTAGGTACGGGTCTGGACCTGAACAATGAATACTTCAAGTCTGAATACTAGTACTAGTAGTACCATTTTTCAAACACTTCATTTACTAAAGATCAGTAAAATCTGTCTCAAACGCGATGGTTTTATTAAATGTACGCTTTGAAAATTAGGGAAACTTGCTCTTGCTTTGGCATTGAAAATACTAGTATATAAACCGGATTGTGCAAAAATGACATTTTACCACTATTAAAGATATATAGAACATGTTATGTGTATACATGTATGTCACAGTGGAGATTGGAATCCAGGGCAGTATGGAATTGTCCAAGGGGAGACTGGGAATTCTAATCTGATATGATTAGAATTCCAATCTCCACCGTGAAATACTAGTAAGTCATTGATTAAATTTGTCTAGCGCTACAGGTAGGTCTATTTCTGGACCTGTACCTTAACTACCACATACGTAATACAGACCTTCCAAACAGGTTCAACTGCAGAACTTCTAGACGGCTCCTGGTTGAGGTTCAACATGCGCTTCAGCGCAGCTGTTCAAACAAAAGACCATGGGCAGATCAAAGAGATGGACTTTCTAATAATGCAGTCGCTCACTTTGCATAAAGTTAGGTAGTATCTAAATACAAAAGACGTCTTGGCTTTCAAAGATTCAAACAAATTTCAGATTCAAACACCTTCTTTTACTATCCATATCAGTGCCTCTGTTCTGCTACATTTGATGCAAGAATGTCTTCATAATTTTGCCATAACTTGGTAGCATACATGTAACGTTACATGTATGTAACAGGAACATTTGCAATAGAAACAAACACTACAGAAGGAAAAGATGAAGAGAGGGAGGAAATTCTATTCACATTAATCACAAGTAGTTACAAAATACATTGTATCACAACTAGCAGCAACATTAGACCAATGTTAGACCAACGTTAGTCCAATGACACTCATCTTCATGGGGTCTGCCTAAATACCTCAACTGACGTCAAACAGCCTCAACCGACCTCATCCAAGCCTAAAGCCTCGGTCACAACCCGCCGTACGTGCTTTTTGTTCGTACGTTTTTTGGGAGGCTATGTCTGCTAGGTTTTTTCTGAAAACGTGGGGAAGGAGTTACGAGTTACAGTGTTTTCTGTATTTATAATTGCATAGACAATGTATCCATAGCGTTAAGAAGGTTCATAACCCATGTACACAGCATAGTAGACTGGGAAGCGGATGGTTGAGGTTGGCTGAGGTTGGTTGAGGTATTTAGTCACACCGATCTTGGGTAAGATCGTGGACTGCCCACAACTACTAGTACTGGGGTAACCGGAATCTGCTATCCGGTCCGGTCCACATAAACTGCTGCCCGGTCCAGTCCGAGGGCGGTTATGGTATGCTGCGGAGCAAACTTTTATGTGTGTGGCTACCCCCCCTCGCGTTTTCCACTGTTTTCTACCAATATAAAATTATTATGACATTCCACAGTAAAGAATAATAATAAATAATTATCATTTTGATACTAACACGGAAAGCTAAAAATAAATCCAATGACCAGTTAAACTACTGTAGAATTGTAAAATTGCTTGACAAAATGCACGGTTATGTTAATCTCAGATGACCTGCCACGAATGATTAATGTAGAAACACACGCAGGGAAAACGGTAAATCGGCGAGGTTACGTGTGAGAAATCAGCAGCTCACAGCACAGTTCCGGGTTGTTTGAACACCAAAGACACCATGAATCCACACATTAATTAATGTTTTCCCAAAGGCTTCTTAGAATAATATACTTGTTTACTAGAATGTGGGTTTTATGTACTAGTAGTGATAGAAAATAGGGTGGATTCACTGTAAAATGGGAGGGGGATGGGGAGGGGGCGCAACCGGACTAGAAACCCCCATGGGGCCATAACCAGCCTCGGATGGCCGGCCGGACCAGACCGCGGATTCCCATTACCCACTAGTACTGACATTAGTTAGGAAACTCAGGCCCCACTGGGATGTTGTACAGGGGTGCCAGAGTATACAGTGCAATTTTATGGAATACAGTGCAATTTTACTGTGCAATTTTACGGAATACAGTGCAATTTTACGGAATACAGTGCAATCGTATTAGTATACAGTGCAATTTTACGGAATACAGTGCAATCGTATTAGTATACAGTTAAAATTTACGGAATACAGTGCAATCGTATATTAGTATACAGTGCAATTTTACGGAATACAGTGCAATCGTATTAGAATACAGTGCAATTTTACGGAATACAGTGCAATCGTTACTAGTAAAATTGCACTGTAACGTTATATTCTGTAAAATTGCACTGTATACTCTGGCACCCTGTTGTAGCTATCTACAAGAAGTGGCGCTCTGAGCCGTTCTGCAAACCTGTAGCTACCAAGCCTAACAACTATAACTTAGCTAGATAGCCTGTTACGTACAAATTCGTAAAAGCAGCTTCCTGAGTCGCCACGGATGGGGATCTGGAGATCTTTTTTTCAAAAGCAAGTTACGTTACACATCAAGGAAACAGGAGGTCAGTCTTTTTATTTAAGCTAGGTATCGCCTAGTAATGGGCCTTTAGGATGACAGTCATCGCTCTATCATCATAAAATTTTTAACCATTCTACAAATCAGACTTGTAACCCAAAGTCTTGCTTTTTTAGACCCACCTGTCTGTTTTTCTCGTAAGGAAGCCGCCATGATGGTTCGCATAAGTGCGCATGTGCCGGACGCGTGGCACGAATGACGTTGCCACTGAATCTTCAAGCAGATGTTAGGTGTCCTGCGGAGCCAATAAAGGGTTGCACATACAGTACCATCTATGTAGTAAGGCACAACCGCACACCTTTGGAGCAAAGGATTTGCCCATTTTGTAGCTCAAACAAAGTAGAAGATAAAGCCCACTTTGTTATTGATTGTAGTTTATATAATAATGAAAGAAATGATCTTTTTAGATATATTACAAGTACGTTTCCATACTTCCAATACTTGTCTATTATTGAAAAATTTATCTTTCTTATGCGCTTTGATCATCCTGTACTATACAAACCCATTCCAAATTATATTCTTAACATCACAAAGAAACGAGAAGAAGCCGAACTTCTGTATTTATTGTAACTAGAGTAGTTTTAGAGCTGTTTGTATTACCTATCTCATCTGTTGACCTGTACTTAGCCCGATAGGGCATGAATGTACAATAAAGGTTATTATTATTTTTATTATAATTATATGTACGATTTGGGGATACTCCTCGTGCAACGCACCACACCGCAGTGAAGTGCAACGAATACGGACTAACTACGCCACCGCAGGGCAAAAGAAGTCAAGGGTTTGTGACCTGATTTAGGCATGAGTATTGTGTAAAAAATGCCAGCAGGACTCTTAGGGTTCGCGAAAAGAAGGCTAGCTCGCCAGCCCAGGCATGGGGGTGTCCGGTAAAGGTAGGTTGGGTCCAGCCCTGGTTGGGTCCCCATACTGGGCTACCTTGCAGCGCTACACTTTCTGGGCCCCAAATGGTGTGCATGGCATGCTCGTAGACGTAGTAAGTGTAGTAGGGGTCGTAGTAGGTGGGTGGTCCCGGGGTTTAATACGGCGGAACTGAGGGGGTTCAAGTTGACAGGGTACGGCACGAATTTCCGCTTTTACCGCTTGAAATTTTAGCGGGTACGGCACGAATTTCCGCTTTTACCGCTTGAAATTTTAGCGGGTACGGCTCGAATTTCCGCTTGAAATTTTAGCGGGTACGGCTCGAATTTCCGCTTGAAATTTTAGCGGGTACGGCTCGAATTTCCGCTTTTACCGCTTGAAATTTTAGCGGGTACGGCTCGAATTTCCGCTTTTACCGCTTGAAATTTTAGCGGGTACGGCTCGAATTTCCGCTTGAAATTTTAGCGGGTACGGCTCGAATTTCCGCTTTTACCGCTTGAAATTTTAGCGGGTACGTGTTGCCGCCTCTACAAATCCCAACCTGAAATGTACATTGATAGATATCTTTCTTCAAGTTGTGCGTTGTACCTCGTACAATTGTTGTGCAATAAAGTTTATTATCATTATCAGGATCCTCAATGCACTTGCTTACATTGATGTACATACGGGAGGGGGTATTGATAGTAGAAATTAAAACTCCAACAGTTCAATCGTTTTTATTGACTGACACGGACAGATGACTCATAAGAGATGCGAATGTGTCTCCAAGATATCAAATGAACAACACGTGATGTACCTAAACTTGCGGGGGGAAAAGGAGTAATCTACTTGTTGTTCTGTAAATCGGTAGATACTAAATATGGGCTTTAGAGAAACATGACACAAACCTGGCTCCGAAGGGAGAGAGCGTATGGCAATCACCAGATTCTATTACACTTACACGGATATCATAACAAGTAGGCGCCATAGCAGCCAATTAAAGCATTTGATAGATTTTGTGTTGTAGCCATTTCAGTGCCAAGACATTTGAATTTGCTGCTGCTCTGCACGACTAACTCAAGAATGCGATCGAACGACATGTGAACGGGCCCGAGTCAAGGCATCATTGTTGACCTGGTTCTGTTTTATCGTGTTGCCTTGTGTGTGTCACAGTTCGTCACGCGGTCCTGTGTCTTCCCCGACAGGCCCGTGGGCCTCTTCTACCCCGCGTGCAACACGTTTCAGTGTTTCAATGTCCATCCCTCCTATCTCTTCTGCCGTGACGTACCCCTTCTTATCCTTGTCCATGTAGGAAAACACCTCCCTAACGTGTTCCATGTCTTCCTCTCCCAATTCCTCACCTTCTTCTTCGTTCAGCATGTTGTGCGCGTAAAGATGTGAGAGCAATTCAGGAGTAAACTTCTCAATTTTGTCTTCTTTCATCATCTGTAGAAAGGCTTTCCTTATAATCTCCACGTTCATGTAGCCCATGTCGATGACCTTGTCTCCCTTGTGGTACGTCCACTGCAGCCTGACATCGCTCAGCGCCGTGTACTTGTCGATGTTTTCCGTGGCGCAGCTCGTGTCGTTGAACTCGGGAAAAGGGTCCCACATGATGGTGGCGGCCACACTGCGCCCGTACGACCGGACTTGGTGGAAATAGCGGGAAGGAATGAAAATACAGTCTCCGGGCAGAAGGGTGGCCCAGGTCCAGGGAACTTCCGACACTTGCGGGTTTTTCACGAGATCCACTTTGTCCACATTCATGTGAGTGAACCCGGATCCGGCTTTCTTGTTGTCTGCCAAGTCGAGTTTATCACCGTACATGTTGGGGATCATGATGAAGTCTTTGCGCCCGGAGATCAGACAGTGTAGGTTGTGGTCTGCATCGTAGTGTAGAACCGACCTCGTACCTCCCGACGACAGCCACAGGTTCGATTCTAGGATGCTGTCTTTAAAATTGCCACAGAGTAACGAGCGCGGCACCTGCATTTCGGCCCTCATGGGGTCTGGCAACAAGGACACCACGTACCATTGCTTGTGGTGATAGTTGTCTAAGAACTCGCTCAGTGGCATCCTTAGCCGAACAGGATTCATACGATCTTCGATCTTCTTCTCAATCAGGACGTCCAAGTCGCCATACTTCTCCCTGATGTACTCATCACTCTGCCAGTTGGTGACAGCAGGGGCCTTGGTGATCGCTTGTCTGTACACAAGGGGTACGTAAGGACGCCTTGCATGGTGCTTCCAGAATTCTGTCGGAGTCAGCGGCTGTGTGTACTCCTTGACGGGCCCGTCTGGTTCTCTCTGGTGGCCCAGCGGTAACAGGTGGCCGACTGGGAGGCCGGAGTCGCTCGGTTGGAGAACTGGGGGGAACGGAACGCCCTCACTTCCCACTTCCGTTGCAAAACTAGTCTCCACGCACAACACGGAAGTAAACGTCAAAAACAGCGCGATCAACGACATCACGACAGCACACAGTTAACAGGTGGTCTGAATAACGGTGTGTTGATGTTGCGTTTTCGGACGCGCACACAAATGAACAGTGAACAGTTAGTTGGGTGAGATCAGTTTTTTCCAGGTGAACCAGAGTGATCATGAACGTTCCGAGAGGGCGTTGTTAGTGTAGGGGTTTCCTCTGTTTGCCCAAATTGAACCCGAATTCAACTCTCGCATACATAGTCCGATCTTATGAATATAAGTCACGCGTACAAGGAAGGACAACAGTCTTGTTAGATCCTTACCCTTGCAGATTGGTCACAATGTGGTCTACCTGCACAGAAATACAGCATGTCGTCTGTGCAATAATTCTGCCGCACCTCATCGACAGGTTCCTCAGAGGGTAACGTTACATACCCATCATTCCTTCCCACTTCCGGTTTTCGTTTCAGAGCACACCTAGGTTCTTCCGTGCTAAAATGTAGCAGCTAGATCCCACATATCCCCCACTCAGCTTCGTCAAAACTTGAAAATACAAATAAAAATATGAAAACGCAACTGTTTGACTGACATGTAGTTACTCTCTCATCGGGCGAGATGCTAATTGTCAGGATCGCTGATCGCGGCAATGGTGGTAAATCTGCCAGTAGACCCGACCATACTTTCTACTTCCGGTTCAACGTAATGGCGTCATCATGGTACTTAGCACCATGCCTTTACAGGGCAAAGTAACCCCCAGGGTAAAAACTGTATGGGAAAATAACATCATCTTGCATGAAAATCCATCTGAGTTGGTATTACATTAACGTTAACGTTAATATAATAAAATATACAGAAAATTTTAATTTTCTTAAAAGCTGTTCAACTCAAAAACGAAAATAAGGCCATGTTGATTTGATTATATGGATGACATCCTCCGGGAACCCCAAAACTGATGCGCGCGTGCGAATAAAAAAAAGTTTTGCAAAAAAAAAAAGTTCTTTTCATTATGAAATCTACGTGGTCATGAGGGTTGAGCAAATGGCACAGAATATGGTTTGGCGAATAATCTAGTCTTCAAGTTCATTTCTTTACGATGTGTTGCGAAGTGACACAGGCCTTCAGGCTGGTGGCATGGGAAATTGTGGTTCGTGTGGCAGAGGAGGACTGGCACCCAACATAAGTCAGTCAAGGTAGGCGGTTTTGTAATACCTCCACGTGGTCATGAACTTCGCCGACGGAGGTGCCGGAAATGACGTGGCCGAGGAACTCGACTTCGGGGACCAGGAATTACCATGTCAAACCCATGGCTTGAGTTTGAGGTTGGTCTCACGATAAAGCTAGAACACAGCCTCTAGGTTGGTGAGATGGTTGGCAATGACTTCATCGGAATGAACAATGTTATCATCCAAGTAGGTCAGACACGTATGAGGCTGCAGGCCTCGCAACACATTCTCCATTAGCTGTCGACAGTTTCCAGTTCGATGCCCTATCTTGTCAGATAGCCTTAGACAAAACCGGACCCAAATGTTGGGCCTCAGGAGTTCGGAAGGCTTTAGAGGAGTGCGGTTTTGGTTATATCTGGCATTGCACTTTATCACAAAACACAGATACGTCCCATATTATTAATTCCATCAACCAACGTCTGAAAGACATCCATTTCCAAACGTTCCTAAAAGAAATACACAATGATAACACAATAGGCGGAGCTGCTAGAAACAAATTGCGATCCTACAGACTGTTCAAGACTACGTATAATGGAGAAAAGTATCTAAATCTCGCTGATTCCTCTGGTGGAACCTACATATACGCCGACCTCACGTCTGGGGTGGAGAACAGTTGGGAGCCTGACGGCGCGTCAATAGTGTTAACTATGCGCGGCAGCGGCCAAGACGATACGAGTCTTGTTCAGCCCTCGGTAGTAACATTGTTCGCTTTGTGCCGTCTTTTTTGTTGACGAACACAACAGGTGCTCCCAGGGTGTCTTGAAGCTGATGAAGACTGAGCGATTCGGACGACAATTTATTGTGAGTTAGGCCATGTTGATTTGATTATATGGATGACATCCGCGCGCGCATGAATTTTCGGCCGTTTCCAAAAAAAAAACGTTTTCAACCATACTGTAGATCGTACAAAACAGTTGCAAAATGAGCAAAAAGATACCATAAATTACAAACAAAAATTAATAAAAACTATACCAATGTCGTAGAATGCCAAAATCAAACGAAAAAAGACGAAATTTGGGTAGGTGAGGGGCGGCCTTGAAAACCGCCTACCCCTGGCATTCAAACTGGCTCAGGACAAACCCCTACAGCAGCAGTGTAAACAGAAAGATATCTACAAGAAGGTTCATGGCAAGTCCTGTGAGATTGGCGACACTGTTTTTGTTCTAAACAAGTGCAAGGGCCCATTTGAGGTTGTGCGTCGCATTGGCGATGCATACGAATACATAGATTTAACTTCATTGAGTTGTGAATAGCAAAGGCAGATCATTTCGTACTCTTCGTACTCTGGGTTTAGACGGCGCAATTCATTTGACTGGGTGGAGCAGCGCATAGACCTGCTACAGATTGTGTTACGATACCTGTCCGGACGTCCCTGATCTGTACGTCACTGTGGTTTAGTCCTCTGGTGTTAAGGTACTTCAGTCCTGGAATGAGTTCCGAGATTTAATTGAGACAAGTAGGAGTCCCCTATGAGCTGAGAGGGTGGGTAAGTATACACGTTTGCTTCATTTTCACGCCATAGCCATCATTATAGCCATAGCCATATTGAATCAAAATCTCCAGTTGGTGTCGTCTGCGTGCTGCGTGTCCACCTCTCAGGGTCTCGAGGATTTGAGTGGGTATTGTCCAGGGAGACCTACTGCAAATAGTCAGGCCAGTGAGTATGCGTTTAGATAGGGCCACTCCAATGTTTATTCAAGGAATAAAGGATGAGTTTAAGTGACACTTGAAACGGTGGAGTCTTGCCTTCTGCAAAGCACAGTCAGAACGGTTATATCTAGTGTACATCCATCATGTCTCCAGTAGCAATGTATCATATTATATTTTATTTGATGTATTATAATATTGTATGATTCCATGATCCTATTGTGTATGATTTTTTGATTGTGTGATGTATTTTGACTAGACCATATGGCTGTAGTTTCTCATAGATATGCTTGTATTTGTGTACTTTTTTTTGCATATGATGTATTACCCTGTAAATGGTAATTAGTTCGCGTACGAGGACGTATGCTTGAAGGAATGAGGGTAACGGCTATGGCTTTTGTGTTTGCATACATTAGCGCGATAGGTAGGCCCTGATTGGTAAGTGAGAGTAACCAATTAGTGAAGAACTATTGTTAGCATAGTTGATCTTGGAAGTGACTATCTATAAGTCAGTTCGTGACCCAGGACTCAGGTACGTGTACATGTGTAGTTGTAGCTCTCTGTAGATCTGTAGATTGTACTGCTTGTAGTACCTCATCTGTATTGTATGCTAGACCTATGGAAGTAACTCTCTATAACTAAGTACTAAATTCCTTGTAAACCTTAGACCTTATAACTGTTAGAGTAAACATATGGATCAATAAACACGGCTTCGCAGAAGCAATCGAACTGTTTGGATCTCCATTTATAGTAAATACCATATAAACACACATCAGACCGTATTTACTAAAAGAGATGCATTTCTTTTAACGTGATGAAAGTTCTTTTACATTTATTTACTGAATGTATGGACAAAGGAGTGCACCACAATGTGGAATGTAGCACAACGCCAAGTAATTACATGTAGATATTGCAAGGAGATTTTTAAACCTCCTTGGACATTGCAAGAAGCATAATACATACGATGTACTTTTGTTTCAGACTGATTCACTTCTAAGACATCAAAACTCGAGCTAACTCTGTACATGTACAGAGTTATGCAAAAACACTGTACTGCATCCAAATGTGAAAAAAAACAGCATCAACATATTTGCAGATAATAGAGCCTGAACTTTTGTTACATTTATTTCTCATCATAAGTAATATATTTCATATTCTTTTACAACAATAGCCGAGTTTTTTTTCGTTTACACATTCCTATCGTCAATGTGATTACTTGCATATGACGGCTCAATCTAATTCAACATAACACTTTGGAGAAGCAAGAATTCAATCGCTGAGATATCCCAAATTTTAATGTCATTATATTGTGATATTGTCCATAAACAGATGCACGTATCATATCCAAACATTGTATATACGAAATCTACCTTTCGACACAGAAAAAATACAACCAACAACCATGCTGATATACCAACGTCGTAACAAATCGTAAAAGTTTAGAGCCCTCGCTTGAGCCCGCTTTGAAGCATTATCATTAGAAGATAGATACGATCGTTGACGTCTACACATCTATATATGTGCTGATTTTCTGTATTCATGCTAGTGCTAAATGTACTTTTGTTGACCTCACTTCTCCGCTGTTCTATCACACATCGCCGCCACAAACTCTGAAAAAAAAACGAAAACAAGATGATCGATAAGGTAAGAACTGCTTGCACACTATGGCCGTGTTCAGACGAAAGAGGTGAAAGCGCATTGGATCAGGATTCCACCGTCATGTGGCCCCGTCTGAACGCTCCAAATCGCATTGAAACCGGCTCGATCCCAAACCACCTCTGGCTGGAGTTAGGCCGTGTTTAAGTGAAGTCACCCAAGGCGCTTTACATGTGGTTTACCCCGAAGCCGGTTTCAAGTGGCTCCATCTGAACGCTCCAAACCACATTGAAAGCGTCTCGATCCCAAACCACTTGTAGAGGTGGTTTCGAATCGGTTTTCCCGCATTGCGATTTGCGATTGAACGCAATGTGATTTCAATGTAACTTCGCCTGGTCATGGATTACGGGGTGATCTTTCGTAGCGAAGGTGGGGGGGCACAGAGCAAGCGGGTCGTTGTCACGACTCCACCATGCGTCTTCTCGTCAAACAGCAATGATTGGAATCATAGGAAATCTAAACTCTACTACTAGATAAGTTACGGAGTCTACTCCTAGATAAATTACGGAGATAATATCCGGACGTCCAACACTCTTCTTCATCGTCACAAATGAACTAACAGAACTCGATAACGCATGTATGAGTAACAAGAAAAACCGGTTGAACATGACAAAGTCAATAAGGTGAATGTTATGTAAAGTGATAAGGTAGTTAGTTCTTATGGTTAGATAACGTTATCAGAGCGGAAGTCATCTACAGACTGAAATGTTGTGAAGAGCCTCACTGCAACGACACCTACAAGGAAGCGGCTACTCATCTGCCATCTACCACCACACACAGCACAACTAAGGACATTCTTTCAAGTTGGAGGCAACAGACATTCTCGACCGTGAGCCACGATGGTATGAACGTGGTGTCACTCGGGAGGCCATCTACGAACGTATCTACAGCCCCACCTTAAACCGGAAGGGAGGACTGCGTGCCGTAGAGCTCTCTAGTACATGACACCCCGCCCTGCCACAACCTAAAGGACAATAACAGTTCCTATGGTGTTCTCTAACCATAGGAACTAACATATCACTTTACGTAACAATGACCTTATAGACCTTGTCATGTTAAACCGGTTTTTCTTGTTGCTCATGCATGCATTAACGAGTTCTGTTAGTTCATTTGTGACAATGAAGAAGAGTGGTGGATGTCACCCAAAACGTCCGGATATTTATATATGTCCGTCATTTATCTAGTAGTAGAGGTTGGATTTCCTATGAGTATTGTTTACCTGGATGTATAACCTTCATCAACAGCAATGATTGTAGTTTAGCCTAATCGTGCTCGGCACAATTCCGAAGGAACGTGTGGTACGTGGACCCGAATCACGATTCCACCGGTTTCGCCTCAACACGACCATGGGGCCTTTCAGCAGCTAGTCGATATCCAGGTTACGACCCCCAATCCCACAAATTTACGGTGGGTGTTTCGTAAGTAACTGAGTGGCCGAGGTCTTTACTTACCTTCGTAGTCGATCCTACCATCGCCATCAACGTCCACCTCACTGATCATTTCGTCCACTGGAGGAAAAAGCAACAGTTTGCTTTTAATGAAAGGCCTTTACAAAAACTATTTGCAAGATCACCCTTGGATTTCGTAACAGCAGCCGCTTTTATTCCTTAGTGTGTGTTTCAATGGGCTGACTCCCAGAGATCACTTACTGGCCAAGCCAAAGGGCAAACAAATTTGCTAAGGCTATGGACTGACAAACAAGTATCCAGAAACACATTGCGAACATGATTTTTAAGATCAACCCAAGACTTCTGAAGAGTACCCGCTTGGAAGTTTGTCCAATTGTTGCGAAATGATAGGTTTCACCTGGCTGGAGGGTACTTGGGGGGTTATCAGAATATTGATATAACTGCTGCCAAACTCAATGTCAAGTTGCCAACACAATAATTTTTTGTGCCTTTGAAATTTTGAAAGAGGATAATCAATGAGGAGATACTATATTGCTGCATTTGGAAGTTAAAGGAGTACTAAAGTCCAGAAGAGAGTGCTACTTTCCGTTAGATTATGTTGCAATTTATTTGTGCGCATGGTAGCCTTGAAAAGGTGCACTTAGGTGCACCTGTTCCACCATGCCCTCCATGTACATATGTCTGTGGATAATTGTAATAAATAGATAAATAAATAAAAATAAATAAAAAATACATAACTAGCCGACTGTATACATAACTTTGCTTGTACGACCTACGCGACGCATGTTTGTAAAGCGATATCAATATCATTTTTCCCCAATTACAATTACAATTACAAATGCAACACACAGCTGTTTACACACATAGGGGTAAAATTGTTTAACCATTGTTTAAAATCTTAAATAAACCATACTAGTATTACAAATATTCAAATATCTTAAAGAGTAATTTATTGAAAGGTTGTTTAAAACGCTACAATAAAGATACCATTTGATATGTTCTCTTTGCTACTAGTACTCAAATTTTGCACACTCGCTCAATATTTGAGTGGTAGAGAGCTCTTGTGCTCAGAAAGAAGTGACGTGACTTTGGACCCTAGCAGCTTGTTCTGGAACTGCAGGAGCGCTTGTTGAAAAATATTCCAGGAGGATAACTAAAGAATTGTTTGACTCATCGTCGTAATGCTTGGTATGTAGGTAGCTTAAGTGATGCTTATCATTATTTGATAACAAGTATTATAATAAACAACATTATTATAAATAATGAGAAAATAATATAATTCCAAAGGTCGGGAATTTCATAATTGTTTAGACATTTGGAATGAAGGTTACCATCATCAACATAATTTATTAAAATCAGAACCTCATTTGCATAATGATGAAATCCTAGAATTGCCTTTATTGAATGTCATTAAATGGAGAATATGATAAACTAATATGATTAAGCAATGTGGAAAATTTACAATTCGTCAGTCATAAAGATTAAGATTATTTGGAAAAGGTATGAGATCGTGGAACACTAGTATCTTGTGTCACAAGTGCTGTGGCCTAAGTTGCGAATAAGGGCGTGACGTCGTTTGATTGAACACTGAGGGTATTCTTGGGAAAGTAGGACTCGTGTCATACAAAAAACATTTGGCTACGAAAAAAGCTGTAGTAGATCCTTGCCGCTGGTAACGTACCTTCTTCCTCGGTGAGATCCTGTCCCAGACAGTTGAGCACCTGTCTGAGGTCTGACGCGCTGATGTAGCCGTTCCCGGCCTTGTCAAACAGCTTAAAGGCCTCTCGTAACTCCTTCTCCTCGTCCTCAGGGATCCCTTCGTCCCCCTTCACAATTTTCGACATTATCGCGACGAATTCGTCGAAGTCAATAGTGCCGTTTCCTGGAACGAAGACATGAGAATTGTCGTTAGATACCTGGCATCATGAGGATACATTACGATTTCTTATTTTACCAATTGGGCAGCTTCTGGGATCGAACTTGCTTTGTCTGATCTTCTGTAGTCCGTTCCACCACCATAGCTTCAGAGGGGGAGATAGCTGCGCATGATTGCTGAGGTGCGTTTCACCTCGGTCACAGCAAAATCGATTGCTTCCCTGCATGTATAGAATAAAAATGCCAAGGAATATATCACAGCCTTTAGATGGGTGGAGCATATTGAGTTACATTTCCTCAGGCGTCTATCGTCGCGCGGCGAAGTTACGCCAAATATTCTACGCCTTGTTAAGAACACATTTGGTACAGGCAATTTCATCACAGGCCGTCCATTCACACAAAATACAAAAAAATCAACATCTAAAAAATGTTTTATCTCAGAAAATCCTTCCCATACCCCGTTAACATTAAAAAATAATGCAACTATTTGACGTGTAGCCACTCTCTTATTGGACAAACCACCAATTGCTATGTTATTATTGGTTGAACTGCTAATTGTGATGGATAGTCAGGATTAGTCTATTCCAAAGCTGATAGTGAAACTGTCGTTTCAAAACATCGTGAGGAGTTTAAACGTTTGGCATTGAAAAAGATGCCCATTTGTCCTAATTTGGACCATTGATTATTCGGCTGAAAGACTCCCAAGTGAGTATCGACAACACCCTCATTAAGTTTCCATACTGTTGCTGTTCAGTATGGTTCGTCTAAAAACAACTCCGTGAATTAGCCGACACTTCAAGGGATCTTATATTGATTCAAACCTGTCTGCAGTCCAGGGAACGAGCTGTGAAGGCATCGATTGTTTCGTCGGTACCGGGTTTACCTGTCTACGGCCGGGGTGACGCGGCAGAAAGAGATGGACGGACAATCTTCGTATCGATTGAATGTTTTTGGATCGTTCATCACTCGCTAGGAAGCCTGCCGCAAGTAGATTATCGTCTTCTGCAACGGTTGTCGTTTTATGTTTTCATTGCGATAATTATTATCTGTACAGACACGACTTCCAGAATAGCTGGATAGGTATTGTTTTCGGCGTGTTGCTTGGTTTCCGTGGGTATTTGAATTCAGTTGAGCGACAGGGAGATTTTGTTACCGCAGATTGACAGGAAAGTCTACCCACACAGGTAGTACAAGTCACACATTCCACGTAGGACTTGTCATAGGAAGTTAGGTTCAAGCACTTCATCCTCTCAGCGTCCATGGTTTCTGTTCTAGACTCGTTGTAGACTCAGTCTGTTTCTTTGATAGTGAAAATAAATTAACACTAGAAAGGCCAATATTTGCTTTGGAGCAAATATAGCGATGGGTTCACCACATTTTACCACATGGCAGGGAAAGAATGAGAAACACAAGGGAAAACAATGCTTTACATTGATATAACTATAGTATGAAGTAACATACAACTAAGACTACAACAGTTGGATAGCTATTCCCTACATTATTGGTTAGGATTGCATAATGCAAACTGTTGATTTTCAAGATAAAAAGAAGCGTTCATAGCCCGCATTCCAATGCTGGAGCAGGAAAGCTTAAAATACCTACCAAAACACTTGAATACAGACATACTGTCAGTATGGCATGGCTCTGTGCAGGTGTAAATGAAGTTAAGCCAGTTAAATCCCAACAGCCAATCAGCAAGGAGAATAGAGGAAAGCTGCATGCCTATTGGTTGATGCCTTGCATGCCATTGTGATGACTCATGTCCAAATGTGGTAAACACTGCACACTTACACAGTAATACATTAGCTATTACACAGCCAAAAAACTCAAATAAAACCATTCTAAAAGCCTGTATCACAATAATTTAAAAAACGCCTAGGGGTATTTGCCCACTGTACCTCCATACCAAATTTCAGGACCTTAGGCCCTAAAATGAAGAAGCTGAATCCATTTAAAGATATGGCAGGAGGAGGAGAAGGAGGAGGAGAAGGAGAAGAAACATCAGAAAAAGCAATATGGTTTCACCACACCACTTCGTGGTGTGGTGAACCCATAAAAAAACCTCTTCACAGATATTTCCAGGGGGTTTGAAATTACTGATTAGTACAGGAAGAAGAACTTTATTGCACGACAATCGCACATGGTACAATGTATGGCAAAATGCAAACCAAAAAATAATAACAGACAATAAAATAAATGTGTTGAATTTGGTATAGAAGGAACCTTGACGGGTCCAAGTGCAATAAGTAATGTTTATGAAGAGAATTAATTATACGCTGCGGATTATCAAAGCGACGGCCACAACCCGCCGTACGTGCTTTTTCTCCGTACGTTTTTGGGAGGCTACGTCTGCTACGTTTTTTCTGAAAACGTGGGGAAGGAGTGGCGTCTACGCACGTCACTCGCACGTCACTCGCACGTCACTCGCACGGTTGCGCAAAGTGTAAGAGTGGGGTCGGCACGCCAAGTCTGGCCGTGAGCGGTTGCGTGCATCGTACGTTGCGCAAGTGGTAAGTGAGTTGTACGTGCTTACAACGTACGATCTCTGTGCGATTGCAACTTTACCGCAAGGAGGCCGTACTCACACGTGCTATGCGACGCATAAAGCGACGGTCACAACCCGCCGTACGTGCTTCTACGTGCTGTCTACGTGCAAAAACGTGGGCAATCGTAGGGCATCCGTGCGTGGTGAGTACCGCCTTCGTACGGAATCCTACGGATTTGGGGTCTGCGGATTTACCACCCGTGCGTGCGAGTACGTGCGAAGCACGTACCCCGTACATCCTATGAGCGTGCAACGTACGGACTCCGTGAGTCTAACTTCACTATTCTCCCGTGCAATTGCTGTACGGACAGCGCACGAAGCACGTGCGTGCCACACACGGTGCTTGCGTCATCCGTGCTTACTCCTCACTTCCCAGTTGACCTGCTCAATGACCACGCAGAACACACGTGCACCATAGCAGGTGCTCCGCACGTGCAACGCACCTGATTTCTACAGTATAAAGACGACTTGACGGGCGACTGCCAACTCGTCTCCAAGATGCCCAGGAAGGCTCAGAAGAAGACTACCAGACAAGACCCAAAGAAACCGCGCGTACGCCGCACGTGTAGGTACGGCCTGTACGCGGCAACGTGGCAATCGCACAGAGATCGTACGTTGTAAGCACTTACAACTCACTTACCACTTGCGCAACGTACGATGCACGCAACCGCTGACGGCCAGGCGTGTCGTGCAGACCACGTACGTACACCTTGCGCAACCGTGCGAGTGACGTACTCCCTCGGCCGGTCACCCTACGTTTTCAGAAAAAACGTAGCAGACGTAGCCTCCCAAAAAACGTACGGACAAAAAGCACGCACGGCGGGTTGTGGCCGTCGCTTAAGGGTCATCATCCGGAGAGGTGGGAAGAACGGGAAATCCAATTTTGTGGTAGGCGCCGGGAAGTAATGTTATCTGATGTTTATAGTCAGCCGAACCTGCCTCATACGATTTCCACAAATAACATTCTCCTGATAGGATCTTTAACTGGTCATGGAATGAGCCTGGAGGTCATTAAAGTTGGTCTTACTGCGGGTGTTCCACGTCGTGCTCTGGTTTGACAACAACTTACAACTTCAGGGGAGGGGGGGGGGTCCAGAACCACAGACAGGAGGGGGTGGTTTTATTTTGGTCGGCTGAAATCTCAGTGGGGAAAATGTGCGGACAGACAGACAAAATCACGACTTGAGTTTCACGATCTCATACCTTCGCCAAAGGAGGAAAAAGAATTCGTGAAATATTTGGGGCTTTTGTAAATATTAGTTTCGGAACTGTATCATTGATTATGGAAGTAAGATTATAGTAGCAAAATGTATTTTAATTTATGGGTTTCTCAGCACAAATTGCATATATTTTGAATCTTCAAGTCCTTTGACGAATTGTTCAACAGGGGCTGTGATTGATAACAACCTGACCTAATCGGCCAACAAAACTGCTGCGCATGCAGAAACACACAAGGAAAGATACTAGTGTCAACGTAGGAGCCTTGTGATTAATCTTGATCTTGGGGGCATCGCGGCCTTGTTAAGCACCTCACACACTACACACACACACACACACACACACACACACACACACACACAACACACACACACAACACACACACACACACACACACACACACACACACACACACACACACACACACACACACACACACACACACACACACACACACACACACACACACACACACACACACACACACACACACACACACACACACACACACACACACACACACACACACACACACACACAGTACACACATACATACACACATATACACACACACACACACACACACACACACACACACACACACACACACACACACACACATACAATAACACACAACAACACACACACGCGCACACACTCACACACACACAAACACATTATGTAGCTTACCTAAAACTAGAAAACATTATTATATGAACTTTACCACATTAAGTAACTTAAAGATTAACAAAATGGAACATTTAATCATCCCTTAAAGTCCTTGAAAGAGTGGATTTGCAAAATTGATTTCCATTACCCACCGCTCTGATCCCACCAGGGCCTAACTAAGTACTTATCAAATCAGATCTAACTGAAAGACGGTGATATTTAGTATGCTGCATGGATGTCCTTCGATTCATGATTTATCACTATTTTACAGCTGCAGAGGTTATAACGATCGGACAAATGTCACGAGATATCATCTGTCATTAGTTTAGGAACGCCCCACGTTTGAAATCAGAGGCATGCTGTTTCATCATAGGGCCCTGTCACACTTCTGCGAATAGACTTGCGTATGAGTTGCGTACGGGCAATTTTTTCATACGCAGCCGTACGCAAACTGCGCACTTCATGTGCATCTCAGTCGTTTTGTGTAAGTTTTGTGAACGCCGGCATGCGCACAGCGCACGCACCGCCCGGCTCGTACGCAGCGTAGTTTTGAGCATGCCCAAAACTACGCTGCGTACGCTGTTACGCAGTTCATGCGTTTTTAATATGTAATGCATCGGTCAAGCACGGTATGAGTTCGCTATGTGTTCGTGGGGGACACGCGGCTCATACGCTGATCTGCACCTGGAACTGCACCTGTGCATAAGCTGCGTACAATGGACGAATGCATTGCGTACTTACAGCGCTTTAGTACCGTTCGTATTGCAACAGGACAGCGCATTGTACGTATTTATAACGAATTAGAAGCGCAAAGGCTGCGTACAGATCTAGATAGCAAACTTGCCGAACACCTTAGCTACACCCGGGGTACCGGCTCCTCTAGACCAAATGGTTAACAGACCTCCTGGAGCATTTTACGCAAGATGTGACAAATCAAATGAGTTGATTACTATGTTAAGATTGGCTCTTTCTAATATGTTTTGCTGAAAAGTAGATGATTATTGGGACAACGTCTTTCCTTGGGTGCAATATGTTTTACAAAAATGCATTTTGACACTTTTTAACACAAAAGAACACCCTTGTACCGCCTCCATATCCATACTGCATCAATATATCTAAATTTAACATAAGTATTTGCTTTTTGTTGCCTGTACTTTGGAATAGCGCGCCAGTTGCCTGTTTCTGTGTCGGTAAATTGTATTGTTTGCAGAGATGTGTAGTGTCCATGCTATCTGTGTGTAAGCGAAATTGTAAACTGTATGTATTGCAAGTATGGGTGTTTTCGTTGTTTTCAAATTATTAAGAGAGGGCATTTCTTGACATCTCCAATTCTAAGGCTATTAACAGCCTAATTTTTATGATTGTATAAAGTCCGGGTACGTGTATTAAATTTACCTGACAAGATATTACAGGAAATTGACCAGGGCTGGGGCGAAATAGAAACAAGCACATTTTATCTGAGTTGAGGGCGGCCCATGAATGACTCGCTGCGAATGATACAGCAGGAAGCAGCAGGGAATACGTCCACAAGACACTTGGCATTAGTCTGAAGTGCGTTAGGCATCCGATGGGCATACGTTGAGTGCGTCCGGAATACGTTTGGCCCTCGCAATGCATGTGAACGCCATGCGGATGTCAAATGCAATCTATTAGCTGAATTCGTTATTTATACGCTACAAGTGCGTTACAGTAACGTTACGTATTGTGCCTACGGCAGAAATGCCTGTACGCAATTCAAACGCAATGGCTATTCGCAAAAGTGTGACAGGGCCCATACCTGATGAGTTGGAAACGGTATGAAATGAAGTGTTGATCTACAGACGTCCAGAAAATAGAAAGAATTTTGTCTTAAACAGGGACAAACCTTACATCGGTACAAAGTAACATTAGAAGCAACCTTAGATTTTTTAAAATTAAGGACTTTGTATAAGAAGCCCATTTGGCCCTTAGACCACATGAAAGCACTAAACACCATTAGGCCACAGCAAGGAAATTTTATGGATGACATCCTCCACAGACTCCAAATCTAATGCTAGCGGGCGAAAAAACAAGGCGGGCCGAAAAAAAACAAGGTTCCTACATTTTGAAATTTTGACTCAATCATTGTACAAATGGGTTTGATTCCGTGGGAACATCACATATACACAGCCAACATCACACATTACTGCATCAAAGTAAGACACAAAACATTAAATTAGAGCCTTTTCTTGTCTCCTCTCTTTATAATTATCTTCCGCCATGGCAACAGACATCTTTGCCCATTTTCGGCATGGCATGACCCTGGTCAAAGTCTACAACTTTGTTAAGGATGAAGATCAAGTCCAAGCAGAGTCGTGCCAGCTCCGTCAGTATACAGAGGTGCACGGTATCTGCATGTATTGCAGCCACCATAACAGCCAACATGTCGTTCGTCCGTCAGCTTGACGAGGACATACTTGCTAATGGACCTTGTCAAACAAACAGGAATGACCAAGATGATTGCAAGTTCTATTACCAATACAATTCTATTGGCAGTTTTAGGCAACCTTTTGTTCAAACTTTAGCTTTCAAATCAGCCCTGTCAAAGTTACATCAAACTGTCTAATTACATAATCAAAGTTCAGGTCAAGTTGGGTGTAAGTGATTCCTATTGACATTTGCAACACAAAAATCTTAATCATTGCTGAATGAGCGTTCATTGCTTTGTGTCTATGAACATGGGGGTTTTGTGGTGTTGCACAGACTGACAGAGAGATATAGTTTCCTGCACAGAATTTACATCTCAGTCAATATCAGTCAAAACATTACATCAAACAATCATTGGTCAAATTGTTTGTTCAAATTTCAAACTCCAACCGTTACTAACCGTCTGTATCGATGTCGTGCAGCATTTCTTTCAGCTCGTCTTCGGACGGGAACTGGCCCAGGTTGCGCATGACTGTGCCGAGTTCGTCAATGGTGATGGAGCCGTCCCCGTCCTTGTCGAAAAGTTTAAATGCATCCCGGTATTCTAGAAGAAAAACATTTCAAAAATAAACAATTCTACCTCCGTTAAGTGTGGTCACCTGATCTTCAACTTAACCATTTTGCGTACAAAAGAGGCCCACTCAGACCCTAGGAGTCGGCATATACAACGGCTATTTCAAGATCAGGGTTTACAAATGGCATCCTGCACTGTTATACCATTCTTACTAAATATTCGTTGTATTCTGTTGAAATTTTTAAAACATATTATCCAAATACAATTATTCTCCAGATAACCCTGAAGCTTTTTTGGTGGATAGCAGTTCAAAACATAGGACCAACTTAATGCCCAAAATTGCCGTAACATTTACGTTATACTGTTGCACCTAACAGTAAGCAAATTTTGAAATACGTTGTTTGGTAAGTTCGGTATGTGTCTTCATGTTGCTTGTACTTAAAATACTAGATGGCTTTCAGTTGCCTGCTTTTTTTTGTCCGTAGAAAAGTACAAAATGGCTTGGAAAATAATTGGAATATAAATGCCATGCATGGGTACATAATATTCTCAAACATTTAAACATGGTGGCCTTATGATAGAAGCCAACCCTTGATAATTGTTAAATATGGACAAAATGACGGTCATAAATTACCATGTTGTAGTGTCCGTAGAGATGTGAAGTGTCCGTATATATATATACAATGGCTACCTGGTCAAGGTCTTTTGATATCACTGCATGAAACTAGATCTTTATACGTAAATATCCCGTCTCTTCATTTGAGTCGAAAATTGAAACTTGGTGCATACCGGAAGGTATCCTTACACATATTTTTGAGGTGATATTGAAACAGCCACGATGTAGATGAAGACGGATAATTCCTATTTAATGGCTAATAAATAAATAGACAGTTGCTTTAGTATTGCTTGTGCATTTCCTTATGCTAATTCGATGATAAAACAGTAGCTGCCTTTTGCTATATCTGGGACGACAGCCACAAGCCCGATATGTGAAGGCAGCTGCGTACGCCGTTGGGAAATCTATTCATCAATAACAACCCAGAAACGTCCGAGCTGATGAATCGATGGACCGACTGTATTCCATGTAGAGCGGATGAAACTGTATTTATCTTTAATGGCCAATATATCTATGGCCAAAAAAAGAAGGTACGGCCTAAAAATGCTTATCAGCTTTCAACCATCCAATTCATACTTTTTTCATGTATTCTCCAATAATACATCCCTCGAGCATTCATTCATTCATTCATTCATTCATTCATTCATTCATTCATTCATTCATTCATTCATTCATTCATTCATTCATTCATTCATTCATTCATTCATTCATTCACATGTCGTTCAAATTCAACAGAGATTCCATCTGTTGCACTACAGGTAGTTTATGGGGTAATCGACTTAGTACGCTCGGGACACTCAATCAGATTTTGTTATTAAGGGACCGGGCACATGATCACACATATTTGAAAATCGAGCGACATCAATATCCGACGACCTGCGACAACTGTGCCCAGCCCTTAGTGCTGCTACACATTTCCCACACGACAACTACGTATTAACTACTAAAATTCGCTCCAGAGATATAAACATTCTACTGTCTGTTTTAAAGACAGCACAAGACGAATATCGACATCAAGGAACTTCCGTTCAGTGACCAGGTCAGCATTGCCCAACACAGTTTAACCAATGAGAAGATGGCTGCATGTCCGTCAAATGTTTGCATTTTTCTTTTTCTACCTTACATTTCTACGTTTTGAAGGGTGTTCTCAGGGCTTTCGGATCAGTCTTTTATATCAGACAGATGCATGGATGTACATTTGTAGAACCATTTTGCCATATCGACTTTTGGGGAAGGCATAAAGGAAGAGACATCTGAACTTTCTCTTTGACCACTGTCGTCACTGTCACAAGCAGCCATTTAATGGCTTCTTCGGGGCATATATGGGGGTTGAGATTTCACCGTAACGTCCTAAGGAATTCATCTTACAAGATGTCGCGGCGAGTTACAGAACAAAATAAGTCCATTTCGCAGCACTTAAGCAACAGATGATGACGATACCGTGCAGATTTGTAATCCGAGTCCAGGCAGCCGGATTTAATAGGACCATTCCGAAATCGTCAAACAACGCAGTTCCATGGCATAGAGGAGATAACTGTCGACAAGGGCATAGGAAGAAGGCGCCTAGTGGCTAGAACTCCCTGGTCTGTGCTCAGGGTCCAGCCATAAGGAAGTACTCCCCAGCAGCAGATTCTCCAGTAGCTTGATAGCGAATTGCCTCCCCCTCCCCCTATAGCCACATAAACACACAAACATCGCAGACTGTCTATAGCGCCTAGAAACAATAGCAGGGACAGATTAGCATAATACTGGTCGAGTTTTTAACATATTACATTGGATTTAATTTTTTTTTTCAATTTTGCCTTGGGTAGGGAAATATGCCATTTAAATGAATGAACAAGTACCCAACGAAAGAATCAGACTTAAGACCCCAGCAATCGCTAATATTATTCTATCTATTCTATTCTACATGTGTATGTGCTGGGACCGAGGGGATGGGGGGTTTTGATAACCCCTCCCCCTGTAACTCAACAACTACCTACCGTAGGAGCACCAGATTTTCATTTCTTCAACTAGGTTGGTGTCATTATGACGTAATATGATTTACTTGATTTTTTTTAGCTACAACCGTCAAACTGGGTTTTGGCAACAACTCTAACATCAAAGTACATACGTCAAACTGCAAAGTGCATAAGTGCACACATATTGAAGCTATCCGCCATCGTCAATCTCGAATTTTTGAAATTAGATTTTTTAAAGATGTTCATATGAACGTTTTATGTAAAAAAACGGAGTTGTGATGAAAGTTTAGTGAAAAAAACGTGGTTACACAAGAGCTACATGTAGTGATATGGTCCGCCATCTTGGATTTTTACCAATAATGTCATCAAATTAGCATAGATTATGAATACTTAAAGACAGAAATAATATATATAATGGTATTTCTGAAAATTTTAAGTTTAAACCCAAATCAGAAACTCGTTGCCATGGCAACGCAAAAATTTATTAACTTATCTCATTAACATTAAATTGTTGACATTTTAGAAAATATGATGGTTCTAGCTCAAGCCGTTCAGGCACTATCCGAGATTAAAGTTGGCGCAGGCCTCAAAAGCATCCCCCATGTGAATAGGGTTAACTTGTGTGAAACCGTTTTATACAGTTGGCCAGCCCATGGTAACGAATATTCCTTCGTTTTTCTTTTATTGATTCTACAAACATGGCAGCCCACAAGAATTTTAAAAAGACCACCATTAGATGCCAGATGCAATCAGAGAGAATAAATATTTCAGATTTCATGATACTGCTAATCATTTTAGACAGTGAATCCGAAATATCTAAGCACTTAATTTCGTGCGAATCTCAAGGATATCTAAAAAAATTCAGAACGTGTGCCTCGTTGGATGATAGTGTTATCTATAAGCAAACGTGGATGAGTCCCCGCGGACGAATTACGTCCTAAGTAATTGCTTCCTGGATAAACAACCAATCAGGGATGCACCAATGGCAAATCGTTCAGGGGTTGTCGTATATGGGGTGCTTACCCGGGCATAGTAGCCACCATGCTGGTTTGTTACTTCCGTAAGAACGAAAGTACAAATGCATTGTTTTGGGTCTCTCTCTCTCTCTCTGTTTGGCTATGTGTTTGTATAGTTGAGGGACAACACGTAGATGGGAGATATTGCCTAACGATAAAAAGTTAAACACAGGAAGTTAGATCCCTGAATTTTAGCATGAGAGTTCATCTGTGTTGGTATTCTTCATTATCACAAAAAGGCTAAACGTTCTGTCCAGCACGAAGTAACTTGGAACCAAATTTTCCGCTAACTCCGTCAGCCTTGTTCACGGGATGGGTCCGTCTACTGCAGCTTCCGGTACATCGGAAACACGTGATTGTAGCAGAGGGTTATACGTGTCCGATAACCTGTGTCGCCCTCCGTCTTTGTTCGGTGTTGGACGGTTGGTCCGAATGTACACAGCATCCTTTTCTCCATTCGCAAAGAAATCCGGTTCTGAGTCCAAAATTTTCACTTTGTCCAGCGAGACGGAGTGTCCTGGAGATTCTATGTGAACATGTTGGGATACTTATGAAATGGTAGATCTTTGCCGTCGGTATTCGAAAAATTGCGTAAAACGGAGACGGTGGACGACATACATGTAGGTTATCGGACACGTATAACCCTCTTCTGCAATCACGGGTTTCCGACGTCCCGTTGCGGAAGCTGCAGTAGACGGTTCCAGAACGTCTAGCCTTTTTGTCATTAGATCCCAGAAGTTGGCCCGGGAGGCTGCGATCCGGTTGCCAATAGGAGAATGCGTCTAGACGCAGCCCGAGACAATCTCAATAGTGGGTAAAACAAGAAATTCGCAAAAACGCGAATGTTTTCTTGAGGCATGAAATGTCAAATGATTGAATCCTTTCTTTAATATCGATTGCTAATGTTCGGCCAACAGGCCTTTTTTGACAACGTCGAGAAGGGTGAACGGTAATATTGTATGAACATACAGCTTTCAACTGCTTGTAATATCACCACGGCTAAATAACAATAAAGAACCCTTAAGATACTCATATAGATCCATAAGGTTCTCTGTGTCAGTCTGCATAATGCGATGCAGCACCCCGCCCACGGGCCACAGTAAACTGCGTGACTTATCGTGTCTCTGTTGGAATTCAAGCCTCCCAAAGAGACCATCAATGTCGTGACGGGCCGTTTCCCTTTGACAAGATTCAGTTAATGGAACATATATTTCAAGTTCTCATATGTCTCTGAGGTGCAAAAATGCCATTAACCGCCTTTTAACGTCACGTTCTATATCCAGGGAGGGGTCTGTGGTGATATATAGCAGAGCTTCACGCACGGCCTAACTCTCTTGGAACTTGTTTGCCGCAAGAATACCATTAGTTGAACATCACTTCAGTGCCCTAACGAAGCCACCTGGGTTTTTAAGTTGTAATGTCACTTATTACTGATTG